ACACTCCCACTCAGCACATACAAACAAAACAATTTCTTAACCATGCACTCTATAAGTGAGGTTTCAATCCTGCAACCCTTGCAAAGCACAAGCTGTACTTTGCTCTTACCGTGAGCCACTGGAAGCTGGGACAGTGGTGGATTTTGACCATGGAAAACATGTGAAATGTGCATCTAGCAATATGCTATTCTTCATCACAGTGAAACTAATTTCACTGCAGTACTTATGTTCAGATTTGCTGCTGTCCAGAAAAACACAAGTTCTACCTCTAATCTTTCAACAACCATGCCTTCAGAGAAATTTTCTTAAAATGTGAAGTATTTTTCCCAGTTTGCTGTGTTCAGTGTTTTTTTCAGATTTTTTGAGATGGGTTTTATTGCTGTTTTTTAAAGCATAAAGAAAGAGTACAAACTTAAAGCTATTCAACTTGAAGGTAAAGAGGGCAGAAAATAAGAAGCTTCTGGTGAATGAACATTCTTGTTCAACCATGATGGTGTTGGTTACTGTTACTCCCTTTTATCACATCTAGCTTTTCTCTCCTCCAGGTGAGGCTTCAAAATACAGGTATCGCTTTCACTTTTCTTTATCTATTGAGGAATTAGGTTTATAAAGTATAATTGTCCCTAATTAGTTACTCAAGAAGGAGAAAATGATGCAAGGATTCCTGTTTATCCAGTCTTAAAAAGATAGTGGAGTAGAATCTCTAAATGCAAGTTAATCTCTTCAGTATTAGATCAAAGCACTGTGTCTACTCAATTATTACAAACTATTATAATCACTGCAGTAGAAAGTTACCCGTCAAGACATTATTTTCAAGAAATTGATAAACACTTGAGAAAGGATAAAAAAAATCACATAGAACAAAAGGACAATTTTTATATGTCTGTGTATCTCTTCAGTTGTTCTCCCAGAGAATCTGCAACCATGAGGTACAGGAAACAAAGTTAGATAAGGCTAAGGCTTCTCATTCTTTAACAGCTACTCTTTTCAAATGGAGCCAAATTCTACATTCATTCTTGGTCAGTGGGATTCCATGCAAGAATCAGATTTACTAAAGAGATTTCAGTGAAGAAGGATAAATATTTTTACTCAGATAAAACTTCTTACTGAGAAAGAAATCATGGAAATCTGTCTTGGCAGTGAAGATACAGAAAAAAAAGAAAGAGACACAGTTGTATGGTAGAGGATTATGTAAAGCAAGAGCTCTTAAGACTGTTGTTTGGCAGTGTGAGTGGGTTGAATTGGGTGGGGCTAAAGGTTTCTATTCAAAAGCATCAAATCTTCCAAACACCACCATTGCCTGTTCACATTAGGACTTCCTGGATTCCTGGAAGTTAGTGTATTTACTTACTCAGAAAAGCTATGGATAACAGGAGGTCTAAGTACGAGGTCTAAGTACGACCTCTTCCCTAGTGTGCTGCATACGTTACAGTGCAAAACATGAATTTAGCTTTTTTTTTTTTTAATTTCCTAACCAAAAGGCATCATTTCACTGGGGAGTAATTTAGAATATTTTTTAGGATTTTTGGTATTTCAGACAAAATGGCACCTTGTGAAAGGACTTCAACAACTAATAAAACAAAGGTATAATATAGAAATAAATTCACATTCAGTATTTTAACACATCTTTTTCTTATTTGAGTCTTTAGCCAGCACTGATTAAAATTATCTTTCATTACTTACCTCATTAGGCAGTGCCTTCATCAGTGTTTTAAGAGTCTTCTCAAAGGTTATTTGGAGAGAAAGCCTGCAGAAAATTCTACACATGCTAGGAGAAACCCTGGTATATGCTGGCCATGCCCTTCTAAATATAAACTCTGGTTAGAGAAATGCAGAGGCCTCTTCATGCACTACATTACGTGGACTCTTCTCTGTGACCTCCAGATGTCCTGATTCTCCCTGGCTTACCACATAATAGTCATGTAATACTAACCTTGATGGACTACATATGAATAAGAGGCTATTTTGAGGTTGTAAGTGCTTCAAATTGTAAGGTTCCCTGTACACTATTCCACAGCTGGCTTGGGAACAGAATACTTAACTCAATGTAAAATGTATGCAGTTGTCTTTATGAAAGCCCAATCTGTCCTCAGAGATCATTCTCCCTGTGAGGAGTCTGCCTTGGAAATAAGCAAAAGACTCAGATCACTAGCAATGAGTTCCATAAATGTAGGTGCTAAAGCTACACTGCTGTCACTTGGCAGTGGTGTGAACTGTGATCTTCAGAAGCTCTGAGATCTCCCTGGCACTTTCTTGCCAGACAAGGAGACCCAGGTTATGCATGTGTGACATCAGCAGAGCACTTGGGGCAAACCGAAGCTGGATCCCCACAGAGAGGCAGAGAAGAGAAAACGTATGTTTATTGTACACAGCTTGTATTTATTGTAAGACAGTTAACAAGTAAACCCACCAGCGACAGAGTAAAGCCTAGGAGCTGGACTAGATGATCCTTGTGGTTCCCTTCCAACTTAGGATATTCCATGATTCTAAGAAAACTACCATGGGCCTGTGCTTCTGCCAGAGGAGCTGGTATTTTCAAGTCTCCTAAGTGATTCTCAGCTCTGCAAAAAGTCCCCATCCCCTAAATATTTTAAGACATCTTAAAATATTACAGAAAGACATCAGAAGTGGAGAGAAATTTCCAGACATTTATCTTCTCTGCAGCATTAGTATGTATCTCCACCAGTACCCAGACAGTCCAGTGGCCACCAGAACTGTCAGTCTTGAATGGCAAGCAAACCCCATGTGCTCTTCCCAGCTTGGGATGCCTCCCATGAAAACATAAACCCTGTGTCTCCCCCAGGAGGCCAGGTGATACCCCAGTATTCCCTGAGGCAAAAGGGCTGAGTGCCTCCCACATCCCTGAAAGTCTGGAGGTTGCAGGAAAGCCAGAACGTGTTGAACGAGCCCTGCTGCCACTGCTAGGCCAGCAGTTCCCAATCAGCTGTGGATGCTGTTGTTCTTTAGACACCATCTGTTGCAACAGCTGCTGGAGGCTTTCCAGCAGGCTCTTTAGCACAGGTCTAAAACCAAATTGCTCTCAGTCAACCACCTCTTCTTATCTAACCTTGGTGAGGGAGGCTGAAGATCATGGTCACTTTGGCCCTCTTATGTAGAGCCTGCGGTGGCACTGACCACCATAAATGAAAGTGTCACTTAGGGACTGGGAGAATGGGTCACCAGAGCCTTACAGGGAGCGCCAGTGCGTGCTGTGGTAGGAGCAGGGCAGGGGAGGGGGGATTCTCTAGCCACCAGGTGAGCAAACAGTCCAGCATCTAGCTTATCTCTTCTTCAGGGTGGCCTCTTTAGTACAGAGCAGCCCCATGAGAAGCCTGACCTTTACCAGAGGCTGAGCAGTTTTTGTTAATCCCCAAAAGCCTTTCCTCTCCCTAAATCACACACTGCAGGGCCTGTGGGCAGCAGGGCCCTGCTTGTTCCTGAGGCTCACTCCAGGCAGGATCCCCACAGCCTCCTATTTCCTTCGGACGTGTTAAGGTACAGTAACACCCGGGCAGCGCTTTCCCCTGTATTTTTATGTTCTGATTATGTAACTGTGCTGCTTGCATAACTGCAACGACAATAAATGTAGGATTTGTGTAAGGGTCAACCCAGAGCAGCTCCTGTCAGCCCGTTCCCTGGTGTCCCTCCCAGCCACCCCACTTGGAACGTGGAGATAAGGTGGGTGCTGTGTGTATCAGTGAGACACACAGCCCAACAAGGAGTGTCCAGTTAGTTGTCCCTGCACCAGGGACCCCCTATAAAACACAAGGACATTGGAGCCTGTTATCTGAAAAATGTCTTATTTCATGTTTTACTCCTCACGTTGGCTTTTCAGCGCTGTTCAGTTGTTTATTTTCCCAGCAAGTCTCCTGTGTAATTTTTATAAAGATTACAAGCAGTATCACCAGTCTGCCCTACTTTTTGACAGTTCCATAAAATCAGTATTTTTACTTCAATGAAAAATGCATTGAAAATCACTTTTAGCAACACACCTTTACGACTTCTTTTGTGATAAAAAAAGGTAATTCTGATGGCTTCCTTGTTCAGAAGATTTTTCACATTGTCATGACTCACTATCAAACAGAAGATTTTTGTAAAAATCGTTGGCAGAATGGCCTAATTACACTGGACCTCAGTTTATACCATGTGACCAAACATGTATCTCTGAATATCACCATGTAATACATACTTTTGGAAGCCTAGAGCTATCACGTTTAAGACCATCTGAAAACAAATAAAAAGGAAATACGTTGAAGCAGTGGAGAGCAATCCCTTACTCTGGCTCCTACCTGTGCCTGCATTAGTGACTTACCTTTGCCCACCGCCTCCTATTTCCTTCGGACGTGTTAAGGTACAGTAACACCCGGGCAGCGCTTTCCCCTGTATTTTTATATTCTGATTATGTAACTGTGCTGCTTGCATAACTGCAACGACAATAAATGTAGGATTTGTGTAAGGGTCAGCCCAGAGCAGCTCCTGTCAGCCCGTTCCCGGGTCTCCCTCCCAGCCGCCCCGCTCGGAGATAAGGTGGGTGCCGTGTGTGTATCAGTGCAGCCCGGCCGGGACCGTTTAGCCTGAAATAACGCTTGCATTCACTGCATGAGATAATGTCACCAGGTCTCACCGAAGCACACACGACAGACAGCCACCCAGGTGCCAGCTGTCCCCTTTCTGGGGGTATTCCCGCGGGCTGTCCCGCAGCCCTGCCGGGTCACCTTCCCTTCCCCGGGGATCCCGCCGCCTGCGCGGGCGCAGCCGCGTTCGGGGCCGGGCGGGCGCCCCGGAGCCCCCTTTGTGAACGCCCGGGCGGACAGGAGCCGTGCCGAGCGCTGCCGGGGCCGGTGCCAACTGTCCCCGTCCCCGGGAGCGGGGCCCCGAGGGTCCGGCTCGGCCGCACGTCCCGCTGCGGGGGCTCTGCCGGGCCCCCCCACTGCGGCCGCATCAATCATTAACGGAGGCTCGTGTGTCCGGCGCCTCCCTCCTCGGGAAACCCTACCCGGGGTGGCGGGGGCGTCTCTTCCCGCTCCTCGGGAGCGCTGGATGCGCCACCGGTTTCCAGTTACCGCGATGCCGGGCGGCGGGGCGGGAGGAGCCGCGGCGGTGCCGCCACTGCCCCTGCTGCAATGAGTGATGCTGCCGGGGGCGGCGGCGGGGGCGGAGAGGCGCAGAGACACCGCGGATCCTCCGCCGGCGGCTGCGGGCGCAGCGGCTCTGCCTCGCCCGGGCGGCGGCGAGGCGGCGGGCCCGGGGCCGGCCGGGGCAGCGGCAGCAGCAGCACCATGCCGGCGGGCGAGGGGGACAAGGAGGAGGCGACGCCGCCGCCTCGCTCTGCCGCCCTGCTGCGGTGGGACGAGGTGCCCGAGGACTTCGTGGAGTGCTTCATCCTCTCGGGCTACCGGCGGCTGCACTGCTCGGCGCAGGAGTGCCTGGCCTCGGTGCTGCAGCCCACCAACGAGACCCTCAACTTCTGGACCCACTTCATCCCGCTGCTGCTCTTTCTCAGCCGCTTCGGGCGGCTGCTGCTGCTGCGGGGCGCCGGGGACGTGCCCTTCCACCACCCGGCCCTGCTGCCCCTCTGGTGCTACGCCTCGGGGGTGCTGCTCACCTTCGCCATGAGCTGCACGGCCCATCTCTTCAGCTGCCTCTCCCCGCGCCTCCGCGCCACCTTCTTCTACCTGGACTACGCCTCCATCAGCTACTACGGCTTCGCCAGCACCGTGGCCTACTCCTACTACCTGCTGCCGGGGCTGAGCCTGCTGGACGCCGGTGCCATGAGCCGCTACGTGCAGCAGCGGCTGGGCTGGCAGCTGGACTGCAGCCTGCCCATCGCGGCCTACCGCGTGCTCGTGCTGCCCGTGGCCCTGGCGCTGGCCGTGGGCTGCACAGCCGCCTGCTGCCGCAGCCGTGCCGCCTGCTGCGCCTACCCCTTCGCCGTGCGCACCTTCGTGTTCGCCATGCCGCTCAGCATGGCCTGCCCCATCATGCTGGAGAGCCTCCTCTTCGACCTCCGCACCCGCAACCCCACGCTCTTCGTCTACTTCTACCGGCGCTACTTCTGGCTGCTGGTGGCCGCCTTCTTCAACGTCAGCAAGATCCCCGAGCGGATCCAGCCGGGGCTCTTCGATATCGTGGGGCACAGCCACCAACTCTTCCACATCTTCACCTTCCTCAGCATCTACGACCAGGTGCACTACGTGGAGGACGGGCTGGCTGAGTTCCTCAAGGCGCCCCTGGCCGCCCCCACCTACTTGGGCACCGTGGGGTACATGCTGCTCCTGACAGTCTGCCTTGCCGTGGTCGTCAGGAGGTTCCTCAACGTTGCAGACCTCTGCAAGCAGGACTAGCCTGGCCAGCAACCCTCAAGACAGTGACCACCATACCAATGACCCTTGGGCTGGAGGCCCTCGGGCTGACGACCTTCCAACCGGTGATCCTCAGACCAGTCCCACCATGTCCTGAAGAAGCTGTGAAACCTGGGGGAAACCCACTTGTGGAAGAGCCAGGTCCCTTTCATGGAGGGTTGCTGGAGAAAATGACCATGGCTGAACTGCTCGTGCTCTTTAAACTACTAGGTTACCAGGGGAAGCAAGCAAATGCTTACTGGTATGTTGCTGCTTAGAGTATAAGCTGAAATAATTTAGCTCTGCTACTAGGAAGAATGCATGAATGGTGAATGCCACTTACTAATTTCATAACAATTAGGTTTGGAACTAGCTCTGTATATACATATATATTTATATATCTAGCTATATATTTATTAGCTACATATATGTGTATATATATGTATACACTCGAAGACATTTGTGCAATGATTACTCATAGACTTTTGATCAACTCCTGTGTGAAATTTCCTAGCAGATTATGCACTGACATTTATCTTCCTCTATGATGCTGTAACAGGCCTTTGCAGCCACATACTGAATTTTAAATGCAAACAAATCGATAGCTATCTATAGTTTCTAAGGTCTTGCAGCCTTTTCAGCCAGGGAACAATAGATTTAACAGAGAGAGGAAAAACAGCTGTGAATTATTACAGAATTACCAGTTGATGGAGAGACTTTAATTAGACAGGCAGTGAGTGGTTGGTATAACCACTCGGATACTAAAATAAAACAGAAAGATATGTAAAATAACTGAACCAGAAAGGGGTCAATGGAATGGGGGCAGGGGAAGAAGAAGGACACTGCATAATGGCATGGCTCTTCCCTCAACACGTCAGGAACATCTGTTGTGTTAAGGGGGTTGCTAAGGGGCCCCTTTATCTTCCCTGGTAAATCACCCCCAAATCAGCCCTTCAGAGTCAAAGTCAGATGCCAGATTTCTATAAACCCCTGCCAAGCTCGGTGGGAGTTCTGTGGACGTAAAGAGAGTAACTGATGCATGAGATCTCATTCTGGATCTTTTAGAGAACTACATGGAACTAGTTTTCTTTTGCTCTTAAATTAGAGCACTGTCAGATTTACCATCCTAAAATTAGTTGCCGAATAAGGTACTGCTGAATCTGAGTTCGGGGCTTAAAATCTGGCTCCAGAAGTACTGGATACTGGCACTTTCTCATCATTCCCCACCTTTTCCTATTTTGAGTCATTGTGGCTGCAGCTGGGTGTGCTGAAGTTCTCTTTCAGCAGCTTTGGGGGAGTTCAAAGACAAGAATTAAGAGATATTTTCCAAAGCAGTATCTTTTCAGAGCAACACATATTATTCTTGTCACACAACAAAGAGTTAACTATAGTTTGAACTTATCTCTGTACACAGAGACATTTTTGTAACCTATATGCAGATTCTAAGCAGATGGGCTTTGATTTTGTCTGACAGAACAAGTTATGCAATAATATTACACAAGGGGGTTACATATCGAACTTCAGGTGAGAAACTATTTGTATGTGCCATTGTCAGAAAAAAAGTGGTACTGCCTTATGAAATGCTGGTGTCAGACTGCACAATAGTGTAGTGGCTCTTTTACTCAGCCCCTGTTGTAGAAATATATTTCTGCTTGGGTCTTTCCCATATTCATGGACATGGCATCTGAACCCCAAGAAAATTTTTTGAGTCCAATTCCATAGTCTTCAGTAAGACAAAGCCCCTTTTGTTTATAATGGGAATATAGGAAGAGCTATATCTGGGGATTATGAGGCCAAATCCTCAATATGGGTCAGAATCATCACAGAAACCAATAATTTATATGTCCCGTACTAATGTCAGCTTTGTGAAAAATTCTCTATGAAAGTGCATAAGCTAACAGAAAATTACACTCACTTCATTTTATCTCAACCCATTCTAAGTACAATGGTTTGAATATTTTAGATTCTCAGTGAATGATTAAAATGGCCCAACAAAAAATGTACCCTTTGCCAGCCACAATTCTGCTAGTACATAATTTCTGATAGGGTCACATGTGGTCTCTTAACGAGATTGGCTACAATTTTCTGAAACAGCAGTTCCCAAACTGTGGCCCCTTGAGTTATTGCTGATGGGCCATAAAAATCAGCATGGCCCCGTGTGGCTGGCTGTGTTTGGTTATTATTTGCCAACCTGCATTAAAAGAAAATGAAAACTACATGAAGTATTTTTATTTTTACATATTTCCATTAACTTTTGTTAGTCATAAATGTAGCATTGCTTTATTGAACCAACAAAGCAGAAAATGATCTGCACCACTGGGAGAGGAGGCTGGTTCACAACAGTTATTCTTTGAAATGTGCTTTATATTGTGAAAACCCTGAAAACTCACAATAGAAAGCCAGTGGATCAAGACCTGCAACAATGTCATCCTATGAATTTCCACAACTGCAAAAAGAGGCCAAAAATCTTTGAGATGGGCTGTATTCAAATTAAAATAATAGTGGCATAGTAGTTAGAGCCCAATGATTCATTCAAGTTTCAAAACTAATTATGTAGAAAGGGTTTGCCTGGGAGATGCCACTAGCATGTCCAACCAGCAATTAAAAACTAAGAAATAAATCAAAAAGGCCAGGGACAGAAAATCTCAGCACTAGAAGACAGCTCAGAAACAAGCAACAGTAAAAGCCAAATGTAAGAGACCAGGCTTTTAAAGCATACTGTATAATGAATTATATTTGTGCTTGTCAGTCACAATGTAGAGGACATCTCGAGAGGCAATGTCAAAAATGGCTGTTGCTAACTTGTAAAAATACATTTGATATTTGCAGTTAGGCCATGCAGGGTCATCTATATATATCTCAAAGACAGATAACAGTGTAAAGTTTGGATTGCAACCAGCTGCAATTTTACTGGAATCTTACTGCTGTTACAAGAGTGCCTGTGAGCCCCAGTCACGCTGGAGATTTGGTACCTGGCTCTGATACTAAGAATATTGCTTCATTTAGAAGTTTCTGTTGGCAAATCGTTGGGGCACAGGTGTAGGCCTGAGCACCTCATGGAATTATTTGTACACTCTGGTTACAAGCACTGCACTCTGAGCCACTGTAAGCAGGCTACGTGAATCCCAGGGGAATGGCCACAGGGAGATGTGATTAGAGTTTAAGAATTCTAATTAGTGGGTTTTTTTTGTCTGTTTGTTCAAAAAAATGTGGCTACAAATTAAAAAGGTACAGTAAGCGTGGAGAATATCTAGGGAAATGCTACCAAGTGTCTGTGTTTATCCAGTGAAGGACATGTAGGGAGATAATTGCTCCATTTGCCATGTCCGATAGCCAGTCTTCATAAATATGGACAGAACAAAACTGAGTTAAAAGAAGTTAAAAGTGGAACAAGATATCTATAATTATAGTGCTTGAATTTGCTCACGTAGAAGTGAGTCAGCATTTGTGTGACTTATAAGGGTGCAGGATGACTTCTTGGTGTGAAAGCACACATGACTGAACATGTGTAAGCATGTCCAGAGTTTACACAAGAGGTCTAACCTGCAGACTAGATGCATAAGGACATCCTAGAAAATGAACTTTTTTGCATAAGTACCTGTCATAAGGTTTTTATTGCCTGGGTACCTGCCATAAGGTGTGCACTGTGGACTCATGCTTAAAACCAAAAAGGCTTTTTGGGCCTTTTGTGGTAGAATTTGTGTGGGGATGGGAGCCCAGGTGAACACTGGAGCACAGCAGGATGGCCTGGACATGGCTATGTGTCCTTCTGCCTTGGGCCAGCACTGAGCTCCAGACTGACACACCTGTGCCCGTGGGAACTGACTGTTGATAGGGACAGTTAAAAGTAGAAACATGTTGGGTTTTTTTGCTAAAATGATAGTTCTGCTTAATTGTCCAAATGTTGTGCTTATTATTTATTTGCTGAATCCAGCTACTTTGTCAGGTTTTTGTCAACAGTGTACCTGCAGAAAATGACAGTATGAAAGTTTTACTTCATGTTTAAGTAAACTCTGAGGCAGCACATGCATAAAGCATTATTGCACTAAACTCAGTTGATTACCATCCACATGCCTTACAGAAGCAAATCATACCTGTAGTAATTGCCCAGATTAAACTGTTTTTCTTTGCCTATGAGAGTCAAAATGACCAAGTGGCCAGTAAGAAGGAGTCAGGCACTCCTGCGGGCTTGTCTCTGCTTTGCCACTGTCTGTTCTGTAATCTAGGGCAACTTGTTTAAACTGTGTTCATTTTGAATGAATTTAATTCGTGTCAAACACTGGAATTGTACCAGGGTTGAATTTGACCCTCTGTGTCTCAGTTTCCACATCTGTAAGATGGGGAGAATATACCTTACCTACCTCGCAGGGTTGCTCTGAAGACTAGCTAATGTTTGTAAAGCACTTAAAAATGCAAAGACCCTCCTAGGTGCTAAGAAGTATTACTGAACTCCAGCAGAGAGAATGTTATTTTTTCCTCATCTCACAGGGAGAGGAACATGAACGTTTCTAGACCATGAACTCCTGGGACAAACCCTTGCCATTGCCATGCTCCTAGGAAGTTCACATCCTGGATCCCTTTGGAGCTGATGGCAAAATTTCCGCTGGCTTCAAGTAGGGGGCAATCAAGACCTAAGCAGTCTTAAATAGGCTGACTAAATGCTTAAGGGTCAGGAGTAGAGAGAAAAGATACATGACTTACGTGTTTTTCTCTTCAGAAATTCTCACTGGTAACTCATACTGAGGGCATTGGAACACTGACATGAGGCCTCGTCGTTCATTTAGCCATGGATTGTATTCCAGTTACCATGAAATAATGGAGCAAGATTTTCCATCAGTGTCTGTAAGCAATTTTATAGAGTTCTCTAATTTGAGTCTCTCCTGATTATGTCTCAGTTGCCACTGGGAATTTCAAACTACATCAAGCTACTTCTTATCAGGGTAAAAAGACCTTAAATAAATGAAGCTTTTAAGTAAACATGTGTAATCGTTTGGGAACATAAAATTATATTGATCAAACAACTTTCTCTTTTTCCCTCCTGTTCCCCAAACCCAACAACTTGGAGCCAATGCTATTATTGAATGAAAACTGAACTTGGATCTTCTGACCCCATACGTGTACTCTTCCTTTGCCAAGGAGCCCTGAATAATAATCCTGCTAACCCACTCTGCCCATCTCCTGGAAGGGCTGATATAAACAGCACCACTGAGTAGAGGACCATGTTTTTAAGAGCTTTTCTAACTGGCAGCAGTAGCAGAGGGAAAAAAAAGACATCAAAGGGTTTGAGTGGTTCATTAGGTCAAAGCCTCTACCATCAGAAATTCTCCCTATCCAAGTATATTCCTAGCTTCTGTTAGACACATGTAAGTCAGGGCTACACAACCAACACCCAAATTACAGCTGAGACTTCACTCTCTTCTCCTCAGATGAGATGCAAGAAGCGAGGCAGTGTCACATGCACTGAAAGACACTGACCTCCATTCAAGACACTTGGTGTCTTGGAGCTGGGTGTGGAATAAACTGAAATCATTTTCACATCTTGCTCAGACAGATGCTGCTTCATTCCACTGAATTCAGTAATAAATTATTGACCAAGACAAAGGAACCAGGCTTTTGCTTAAAGTTGCCTGTAAGGAAACACCACCAGCAGACTTCTGCTTTCAGGGCAATTGCTTCCTGGGCCATGCTCAGAACATGGAGGATTCTGAAGTAGGGCTTTGCTATTTCATGGGAATGCCTTAGGATTTGTGGTTGTAGCTGGGGGTTCATAGTATGGAAAAACAGCTTATAGCAAGTCAATTCTGTCTGCTAGAGGTTCAAGCACGCTTCAGTAGGAGGTAACACGTTTAAGGGTCTGTGCATGCAGTGAACAAAAAGTGTGAATTTTGTGTGGTTCTGTTGGGAGGGTTTGAAAATTTACTCTTTGTACACTTTTGGATGCTGACTACTGTCTATGTAATGACTATGCATTTTTAGCAAAAAAAAAGTGTAAGCTATAAATAAAGTTAATTCTGAGTACATTTTTGCAGAAATGCATTTATAAAGTTTTTTCTCATTTCTTAGTACAACTTACTGGGACACCTGTGGGATCAGAAATGTGGTGAATGTAGTTATCTTCAAACACAGGTGTTGTTGGCATGAGTATAGGAACTACCAGTTCTTGTATAGAGGTGTTAGGATCTCTGAAAACACTATAACAGCGAAAGTATTGCGCCATTTTGTTGTCTTTTATATTTTACAGCAATAAAATAGCATCATTGCCTTTTTAGTTCTCCAATATCTGTGCTAACTAATTAATGACAGACATCCCTGTTATATTAAGATCAATAATATGTATAAGGAGATCAGTGTTCAGCCTACAGAGCTCACTGAAAAATCATAAAATTGGTAGCAACAGTGTCAAGAATCACAGGAAAATACTGACTGCAAAATGAAGAGTTCTATTTGGCATCAAATAAAGTTTCCCATTTGGCAGAGTAGGAACGTTTCATGTGGCAAAATACTGTTTTCAGTCTAAGTCAGGCACCAAAAAGCACTCAATGAACTGCAATTACATAAAGTATCTGCTTTAAGCCTTTTCTGTCAAAATTCAGCAGGACAGGATGTATCCCAACATAATTGCAGGCACCCCCGATACTGTTAAAAGACTGAACACAATGGAAAACTATAGGATCTTCTAGTTGAGGTCTGTAGAATTTCTTCAAAAGTTTTAGAATTCTTGAGACTCTTATTTGCAGACTTTGTACATCCTATTTGAAATGACTTCAAGTATTTGATGATCCCAGCAAAAACATCCATTGCCCCCTCACAACCAGATGCTTCAAGAGACTACATCCTACAAATAAACAAATGCTTCACAAGAATGTATCCTGCTGTTAAGATTTAAGGCCTTTCATAGGGTTATCAGTAGGCTCTGGATCTGACTGCTGAATGTGAACATGCTGGAGGAAAACCTCACAAAACTGACAGAGCCAGAGAAGATGGCAAAATACTGAGCAGAATGGTAGGCAACAAAGTGACAGCTGCTGGGACAGGTAATTTAGTGAGGTCAGTACCTCAGCCTTCAGCTGAGGTGGCTCCATAGTTACTCATCATGATAACCTACTGGAAATCTGAAGGCAATCTATATTTTGTTACAGTGACATCACTTCTCTGACAAATGGCCCTAAAAGTCAGGACAGTGTATTTGTGGAGGAACAAAGGAACATCTGACACACAACAATAACCTTCAGGTTTTATCTCATCACAGGATAATGTATGGTTAGTAGGATTTGTGAGTAGAGATGAAACTCATTAAAAATTAAAAAGCTGGTAAAAATGTAGAGCAAATCAGTATTAATGCTAAGGCTAAATCTTGGTTTTAGTGATGAGAATCTCTGGGCAGACACCACAGATGCACTTTCTGCATCAGAAAGCCCTCTATTACAAGGCAGATTTCTTATCAAGAGTGGTAATACACTTCTGTTAGTGGGGAACTGGAAATACTTCTCTTGCCAGGGAGCACAGCCTTTGGGTATATGATATATATGATACATGCTTCACAGAAGCATAACAACAACGTCACACAATCTTTTTGGAGAGGAAGCAATTTTATAGAGTTCTCTAATTTGAGTCTCTCCTGCCTCCAAGATCTAATCCTTTCATGTCCCTCCTGACTGATGAAACATGAAAATACAGGTTTTTTTCATTTTTGGTGTTAGACATACTTCTCATCAATTATACTCTGTTTGCTAGGAAACATCTATTCTCTGTCCTGAGAAACCGGGCAATTCCACTTGTACAAGAAGAAAAACCCTGATTTTTTCCCCTCTCTTTATATGCTGGGCTCTCTGCATCCACAGCCCTGGGGCTATGGAATTCAATCACTGGCACTCAGTAGTGTTCCAAAATCTCAGCTTTTCTTTTTAGCAGCACTTGGAAAGACAACTATGAAATGTCAGTGGGGTGGATAACAAGCAGCAATATCCACAGCCCTCAGAAATAATATAAATAATAAGCAAAAGGTAAACAGGTCCCCGGGACAGCTTTTCTGGTACCTTTGTACACCCAGGCATCATCTCTCATTATCCCAAATTTAGTGAAGCTCATAAGCACATGCTTAACTTTAATATGAATATATGTTTATCTTTGTTCATTGACAGGGGTGAGCTTTTCCTTGTGTTTAAGTGTGCTATAGAAGCACAGCCCTAATGAGCAGACAGTGCCAGGGAAATGCTGCCAGCAAGAGTCTGGCACAGCAATTCTGCCATTCAGCCCTAAGGCAGTGTCCTACCCCTGACACCCAAGACTCACATTCCCTACTCAGTCTTAGCACTTGAAAGCATTCTCCTTTCAGGTCATTGTCTGAAGATTTTAATACAAAACAAAGAGCAAAATACATATGTAAAGCTAGAAATGCGCCAACTTAGTAATGAATTAAAACAGCACATTCTCTATCTGTGCCAGTTACATTATCCCAACACTGTTTCTTGTAGTCTGGTAGAAAACCATAGCTTGGAGAAAAAAAGTTTGGAACAGTAACCAGAATCACTGAGCACTGTCAAATACATTCACTAGACAACCTAGTTAAAAAGAGTATTTATTTCTGTATTATATAGACTCAAAGATTAAACACAGAAGCTACATATTCTATGAAGAATACCTTTGTCCCTAACAATAGAGAATATTCCTTCAAACTATAGCTATTCTGCTCCAACAGAAGCATCCTTTATTTTAAACTTCAGATGTACTTTGGACGAAAAAAAAATAATTTGACTTAACTGATTTCAGTGAAACATAGGGAACTGAGGGTATACAAGAATGGAAAGCCTGCAATACTCAGGTTGTTAAATTAATATCACTTAAAGTCACAGCTAGCTCAGCACTCAGCAGCCCTAACACCTCAGAGGGAATATACAGCCAGGGTACATTCAGATCTACTTCTACTGAGACCATCAGTAATCCAAAGGATATAGTGAATTGATATAATGAATGGAAAACGGTACATACCTCCATTAGAGTTAATCTGTGATTAGTAAATTCCTGCATTCAGACATAAGGCTGAATTACTTACCTGGAAATATGTGCAGACAGCAACATTTATAAAAAAGTTGGCAGTGCCCCACATACAGGTTTGAGGTCTCCAGCAGTTACCAACAAGACATTTTAGAAGTATTCCTTATTAAAGGGGAAAAAAGGGGAAAAATTAATCTCACAGAAATTAAAAGATTTGTTTATTTTGACTTTGCTGGCAGACTTGTTGCATAGGTTTGCACAAAGAAAATGAACTGGTAGACTTACAAATATTACAAAGTGTAGTAATCACTGTGTTCTCTTCTCAAAGTCACAGTGATTTTCTCCAAGCAGAGTTACTGAAGACCCACAGTGAATCTGGCCCTCTTCCCTTTACAGCAGCTGTGGCTTGGAGTGTGAGTCCTCTGTGGAAAGTACTAGATGTTCATCTAGCAGTATCAAAAACAGTTTATTGCTACTTTTAAGTAACCCCAAAGAATGTTATTCATTAGCCAAATATGCACATATAGCTAGGAAATATTTATGATTTCCAGGCTCTGGAAGTGTCATGATTTCTAGCTTCAGTGTCATGGAAGAACTGCCAGATATGTCCCAGTCATCTACGACTTCTAGCTTATTACTCAATACTCTTTGTTTTAAAAGCCATTTCAGTCCCTCAATAGCTCATGAATGAAACAGTCTGCAACAAACAGGCTGGTCAATGAATTCTCTAAGGTGTCAACTTCCCATGTGCACCATAATAGGTCAGCGGTAGTGAGGTTCCCTTCACAAGTAATTCCTGAGCTAAATTCACAGACAAGCACCAGACTTAATTCTCTTCCCTTGGCATTTTGCCTGGAAGGCTCAAACAGGCTGGAGAATAATACTGACTTGTAAAAAGCTCTTTTACCCTACTATTCCCTCATCACATCCCTCCAGTGCCGGCACAGAGGATGGAGCAGGAATGCAGTGTGGCACAGGACGTCTCTGCGCTGCACTAGTCCATATGTGGCACAGAGCCATCTGATCCCACCACAGCTGCCCCCACGCATGAGTCAAAGCAGCCTGAGAACCAGGCAGTTCCAGCCCTGCCTGCCTGCTGTGCCAAGTGAACCTTGGAATAAAGAGATTCAGGCCTGCTGTTCAGAGGAAGGTTCTGCAACGTTAGTCTGTGCCCAGCAGACCCATGAAGGACACTGAGGTCAACCGGCAGGAGTTTCCTAGACAAGGTTTGGCCTTACTCAGCTTTAAGAAAACCCCCAGTCTTTAACTCAGCCACCAGCGCTCTGCAGTCTCAAGAGTATGATTGAATCCTCAAATTTCACCAGCCTGAAATGAACAAAAAAAGATAAAATAAATTATCGACATTTATTGAAAAATACCAGATAATTCGGCCTTTTTCGCTCTGCCCCAGGCAATGCACACAGCTGTGCCGTGTAGCACAGTGTCCCTGTTAAGCCCGGCCTGGCCGCGGCTGGGTTTGGGAGCGGCCGGGCCGGAGCCGCCAGGAGGAGCGCTCAGACCGCTCCCACTGCTCCCACTGCTCCCAGTGCTCCCGCTGCCGGGGTGTCCCTCGGCCGGCCCGCTGAGCAGCGGGATGGCTCCAGCACGGACACATTTTTTCCGTGGTAGCCGCCGCTGTATTCCTCCTCTGCGGCGCACAGAGGGGAGCACAAGAGTCCCCGCCCTGCCTGCCCTGGGCGCTGCACAGCTGGTGGCAGTGCTGCCCTTTGTGTCTCCCCTCCGCTGGGCACCTCTGCTGCCTCCAGGGCTTATTTGGAAGGGATGCCCCATCCATGTAACACCGTCAGGGAAAAGCTGGCACAGAGAGCCTGACCGCCTGGCAAAAATAATGCCTTAGAGGCAGCTGCTTGCTGATATAATCCCATATGAAAAGAAAAACTGTTTTGAAGGGAATGACGCTGCCTTCTTAGGCATTCCTGGAATATAAACTGAGCATGAGTCAGTCAGAGTGAGAGTATGCATCCTGTCATGTTGACAAAGAAACAAATCAGGCAATAAATAAAAAAAAAATTCTGAAAGTATCATCTTATGCAGGATTTCACCCTCCAGTACCTGGAAGGCTGCAAAGTTGAGCAAAGTCATCCATTCAGAAATGGCTGCTTCCTGGCCCAGAACATTCTGAGAGGATTTCTCAGGACAAATTCAGTGCAAGTGAGAGGGACCAGCCCTGATAAAGCCTGAGTCAACCATGAGGCACACATCTGGCTGGCAGGATGCCATGCCCATCCTTCCACAGCTGACCTGTTGCCTACTGGATGTGAATGACTTTTTTAATCTGCCAGTTTTCAGATCTGTGTTCATACAGCCTACCTACCATATTCCCAGCTAGTGTCAAACGATGCACATAAATTTCATGCTACAGTTTTCAACACCTAAAGCATTAAAAAGTACTTTCTGAAATATTGCAGTCCTCTTTTTGGCTCTAACATTGCAATGTTAATTAAAGTATTATAACAGTGCTATTATTCAGTCTCTGCTTGTTAGTTTACAGCAGGAGTTGTTGGACTAGCTCTGCTGCTTGTAAAGCAGGGCTGACACTCATCCTTCCTGCTCAGACACCAGCTCTTGGCTTGCCATGACCTTCGAGCTCTCCTGCAGAGCTCCAACTCATTTTGGCCAGTGACGCTTCACTCCCCACCTGCAGCCCAAGATCACACAGCACCTCTGAGACAGCCGTGCTTTACTGTCCACTGCTCAGCCTTCAAATAAGCCTGTTCTGGGCACAGGCACAATCCAGAGCTGCCCTGAGGCTGTCTGATGATCTCCACAGCCCTTGTAGAAGCTGGGATATGAATGAGCCTGGTCTACTCCTTTCTCATTTAACACCAACATGTGGGAAAATGTTTCACAGTGTGAGTTCTGTGCAAGCTGCCAGTGACCCCTACATCTTGGCACAAGCCGTGCAAGTCAGCAGCCTCATTGCATGGATGCAGATCTAGCATCTCATCAAAGTGTTTCCAAATCTCTTTACCATGCTATTTTCTTCCTTTCATTTATTTCTTCACTCTTTCTGACCCAACTTCACTCTCTCATTCTCTTCTCTTTACAAATTTGAAGCCTGAAGCCATATTTTTTCAGATCAGAGTTCTTCAGTGCAAGCTGAGCATTCTCAACTGCCTGGAATGTGGGTGGAAGCTCTCCTAGAGAAACCAAGGTGGAGGAGACAGTGAGACTGTCCTTGCTGTATTCAGGGCACTGCTCACTGTGTCAGTGCCACACCAGTGCCCTGACTGAGCCTTGTTTAACACTGTGTAGCCACTGCTACTGCTGTCACACAGGCAGGACAAACAACTGACTTCCCAACTACCTGTGGGCTTTAGGTAGTCTTCTCTTCCTGTCTTACACCACTGGTTGTATTAGCACTAAAGAAGAGGAAATAATTCTATGTCCCACCTGAGAAGTGGTCAAAATGCAATCATGCATGCAATCATGCTTGTACATTCTGTTAAATGCAGTAATAACAATTTATTCTGACATACTGTTGAAAACTGAATGCATTTATTTCCTCACACAGTTCAGCTTTCCTGGTAAAGCTTTTCTGGATATTTCAGACCCATTATATAAACTAACTCTACACACAGCCCATCTAGATACAAAATATCCTTGAGGGTGAAATTCCAGACTCTGAAGAATTTGCTTTGGCAATAGCAAGATTTACTATTTTCCTTGTCAGATTTTGTTCTCAGGACATTGATCATCATTTCTTTGTTGACAGATTTTGTGGATCTCAACATGACTGATCAACGTGCAAATCCAATCAATGAGAACCCGGAGGTCTCACTATATTTTCTGATAACTGCTGGGATTTACTCTCAACTAAGAGTATAAGAAATGTTCTGCAGTATGAGCCACATCTTTTATGCTCAGTGTCAAACATAATAGGCTTCTAATAATAGAACCACCACAATCTGTCCGGCTATTCCAGTTCTGGATCTGCCACAGGAAGCATCTCATGAGGTCATAGCTAATACAGTAAACAGTGACCCTTGTTAATGACATGGTAAGAACAGAAAGGCTTCAAATGTTGGGGAGGTTTCTCATCTACAACACTCTTCTAAAGAATTTAGCAGGGCGAGTATATTTACAGTTCCTCTTACACAAATTATCACAGTATGCACAGAACTCTGAGGTTTTATACAGCTCATTATAAGTAGGAAGGACAACCATCTACAGGGTATGCTGATGCTAAATCTCTAATTTCAGACCTCACTTATAATTGTGTATTGAAAGATTTTTATTTTAGGATGGGAACATAGTAGAAGAAATAGAAATGTAATAGGGAAATAAAACTTTCCCCACATTATCCCTTAATTCAAAGAATTTTCTTGAAAATTCTCTCCTTGCCTTAAATTACTTCCATGAAGAGATCAAGTGGCAGAAGTATCAGTTGCTTTGTGACTAGCTGTTAACAAAATAAAATAGTTTTAATCTGTTTCTCAGCTTAGATTGCTGGGGGTAGTAATTCTCTGGTCCAGCTGGCATTACAGCGCAGGGTTCTCACCGATGCTCAGTTGAATAGTTATCTTAAGCTTCCAGAGAATTTATGTGACACCACAGACTTAACAGGATGAAAAAAAAAGATGCAGAATTGCCAGGCTTCATGGAACTCTGAGCTACATGCAAAACCTTCATCCCTCCATATCCTGCTGCTGCACAGCCACAGCTTTCAAATCCCAGCCTTGTGCTTCCTGCTGTGCAGCCCCACCATGCCAGCCTTACATCCTCGACCACCATGAGAGGAAGCTGAGGAAGGACAGGTTAAGCCCAGCATCCCAGAGCCACAGCCCACAGGCAGGAGAAAAGCTGGACAGAGTTAGGAAGTCATGGTTTGAAACCCCAAATCAGAAACCCAAAGCCAAGCAGCTACAAATTAAGCTCTGCAGAACTGCAGAGGTTTTACATCTGCACCACCTGCACATCAGAGACCTGGGCCAGGAGAGCAGCTTGTTTCCTGTGAGCACTTGGCCAGTGACAGCCAGGGGGAAGGACTCCTCAACCTCAGCTGGGCAGCAGCTCACTGCACTCATTTCCCAGGGCCAGGGGCCTTCATCCCATTAGCCCAAAGTCTGTTTCCTGGGCTGGGCTGGGCTTTGTGGAAGGTGCTGTGGTGAACACAGCAGAGCAGTGAGTGGAACAGAGAAATGCTGCTTCCTCCAAAAGTATGTGCATCCATGACACTTCCTCGTGGTGTTTCTGTACACATTTTAATGCCTGCACTTACCTTTGTCCACATTCCAAACTGCAAATGTAAAATACACTGTATTCAGAATACATGTATACAGCTATGCCTCCATTTCTTCCCTGTAGCACTGAGTAACTTGTGTGCCCCTGCCTCAAGGAATTGAGTAAGGGAGTGGAGAGGCATTGGAGCATATTTGAAAGACATCAGTTAGAGTCATGTACTGGTTTCACTCTGAATTTCAACAGAATGTGGTGTTAGCATCTAGCTTTATGACCACTGCCATTGCCTCAGTCTCTCTTTGACAGAATTTGATTTCTGCCTAAAGAAAAAGGCCTGAAATGGTGACCTGGCCCACACAGAAAAGATGCCAGCAGATTCAGTAATTCAGCGTTTCCTTGCCATGGCTTTAGAAGTATTAACACTTTTTAATTCGCTGTAATAATGTAAGTTTTGTTCATTTTTACCTCAAAATCTGGATGGACATATTGCTATACTCTGCAAGCTGTTTTTCCTGGTTGATATATTTCCACCACACATATCCTTTTGCCTAAATCTCAATACAGATTCTGCAACAATTTGTACTTGCTCACCTGCTATATCAGCTACATATACTAGGTTTAGTGCAGTACCTGCTGCTTGGTCATTCTCCTTCCATCTACCAGAGCCCATGTAATATTTAATTCCTTCATTTTGAGTATTCATCACAATATCACTTGGTGGATTCTTACCTCTTGCTGACAACTGCTTGTTCTTTCATAGCTTTTACATAAGATGTGTAGATGCAGAAATCTGCTCTGTCACTTCCATCTCTCTGTTTCAAGACTGAGATTTCTCTACTTTTACAGCAGCTTTCCTTCAAAATTTTCTTTGAAAATCTTTTACCTGAAAATTGTTTTAAAGGTTACAGGTCATTTATTGCTCTGCAGTCAAGAATTTCTTTCCAGATGTCAGACACTACTGTGCTTTAATTATACAGTCCTCTGAAAGGCCTTCTACTATGAAATTTTCTTTGTTGTCTGAAAGTCATTTTATTGGCAAAACATATGACTAACAAAAGGGATATGACTCTATGCTTACTGTATTATGAATTATTACACTGTGTACAGCTGAGCTTTAAAAACAATTTTCAGACAGCTCTGATTTTGGTGACTAAAGCTTTAAACTGCTTAGGTTTTTTTACTCCTTTATTAAAGCCAGAGGTGGTGAATTTCTAATTTCTGATCTCATTTTTTGTCAGGCCAGGCCTGAGCATCTGTAGGTCAGACATATGCACTGGAACCATCTGTGCTTTTTTGAGTTCTCTGATGGAAACTCATACCAACTGTAAGAAAATGTTAGAAAATTGTGACACATTGTCTAATTCACAAATTGAGATAAAGTGAGAGCAGTTCTTCTCAGCCTGCACAGAGCTTAGAGCTTGACCCCTTCTGCCTTAGCCCTAAAGGAGAATTTGTTGCCTGAAACATTGTCTGTCTTTTAGTTGGTCCAGGGAAAACTCGTTTGTGCCTCAGGACCGTGCCTTGCACGATGCCTTCGTGAAGCACCCTGTGAAAACATCCCTGCTGGAGCTCCAGACAGCCGGGACTGTTCCACTGGCAGGCAGGGCTCAAGAGTTCTTTATTCCTGTCAGACACAAACCATTATAGAGCAGCATTCTCCAAGAGACAGATCTGCTTGTGGGACATATAAATACTGGTTTTCCTTCCACTGATGTCCATAGGAGCAAGGATGGAGGTTATGATATTATGAGATACTAAGTTCTTAAAATATGTTCTCAATGATTTCTATATTAAGAGCTGTTTTGCTTTGGAGGATGAAAGGTCTGTTCACTTAATATGAGGAACAAGGTCTGTCTCAGAGATGTGGAAGAACATCTATTCATCCAAAAGCTTAGCTATTTCAGGAATAATCTGTAAATTATTTTAAGAGTTTGTTTAAACCGTTGTTAACTATACCTGGCAGATTTCTGGCAAATGCATTATTGTTTCTCTAGACTTCTTCATTCCTTCAAGGAAACTTTTTGGGAGACAGGACTTGTCACTTCTCCTGTTGACACTGTTCTACTTTGTATAAATAATTACACATTCACTGGGACTGGGACTAACACCTCCACCCTCCCCAGGAGGGTTACTGAGCCATCAGACTAGAGCATTGTTTTTTCTCTCACCAGCTGGCTCCATGAATATTTAAGTATATTTTACAAAGTGGGACTGTTCCAGTTGAAGGGGCTGGTGGTCAGGTCACTGATGTGAGGCAGAAACCTAACCTGAATTTGCAGAGGAGAGGAGAATTCCTCTCAAACACAGGTAGGAGTTATTTTGTGAAGTATGCACTGACTTCTTCAGGAGCACTGATGTGATCCTCACTTTCTCAGTGGGGTTTACACATCAATTTATATCATTGTTTTGACAATCACTTCCATAAAAATACATTTTTAGCATTAAATTGAATAATTTGCACCAAATGAAACAGAGTTTGGAAACTTAATTTCATTTAGAAATATGAAAAAATCATATTCAGCTCTTGAGTGCTGAGATTTTCTTTTTTGTCCAAGTATCCAGTCAATTAGTAGCCCAAACTAAGTTAGAAAGCCTTCCCAAATAATATCTTGTTTACCAGTATGGGCTCCACAAATTCTATGCCTTTTATCTTAGTCTAATCAAAGTTCAGGTAGGTGATTTTTGCTTTCTGCTTTAAAAACTGTGAAATGTGCCTGTTGTCATAGAGTGAAGGGCTTCTGGGAAAGGCAGGGTAACTTGGGAATTCACAACCTGGAAAAACTTCATTTTCCTCCGCTGAAAAACATTCAGTTTAACAAACAGACTTACACTTCGAGTGTAATTCAAACAGCAAACTAAACCAAAACAGGATCAGACTGCTAAACTATCCAAAATTGAATGGCAGATTTAACCCCTCATTCTCATATTAATACAAAGTAGCTGAAGAATTCTGAAATGGAGTCAAATTGTCAAATTGTCCATCTTTGAACACTAAGAGGATGTAGTAAAATCAAAGGTCCTGTTGTGTTTGGATCAGACCTCTGATAATCTTTTACAGTTACAACCTTTTGGTTCTAAGTCTTGCATTAGAGCTTGGCTGGGAATCTATGTTGGAGACTTCTTCTACAATACAGAAAATGTAAAAGTAACATTACAGGTATAAATTAACACATTAACAATCCAGGGCAGGTCAGAGACATAGCACACTGAGTTTAGTATTTACTTAGTTTAATTAGATGTATTTGATTTCACTTACAGTTAAAGCAGATAATTGAATAACAGTACTTAAGAGGAGACTCCGGGGTTAATAATCATTAAGGAATCCACAGAAGCACACTTCCACCTTGGTAAAAACTGCAACCATGAGAGGGGTGATAACCAAGAGACAGGCCAGCAAACTTCTGAGGTGCATTTGGGGTGGTGTCAAGGCAGAGAGAAGTGTCAGTAGTGTTTAAGAGCCTAAGAACCCAGAGCTTTGAAAACTTAGCTGAAAGCTGAATACAGAGATGTTGTACTGGATAGACAGTATAATAATCATGATCTACTGGCTGTACTTATAACTCAGGCTCCATATAAATCAGTTCCTCTCATTCCCTTTCAGGAATCTATATACCTAGCATCACATATCTACATCTGCACCTCTTTACAGCAAAGAATTCCTTACTGTTTGACACTGTGCAGGATAATTATTATCAGTGCACTGCAGTACATCTGGAAAGATGAAGGAATGCTGGCTCAGCATACCTCAGGCAAAGCACTGCACCTCTTAAAGAATGAAAGCATACATAAAACAGGAGCACAAGAGCTGCATCAGTCTTTCATGCCTGAAAGCCAAGCATAATTGCTTTGAAGTGGAAGGAGTTACAGCACTGCAGCTCTCCAACTGTAGAACAGGTAACAACAGGAATTTAAATAAATACTTACCAATCCTGCAAATTCTTTGATTCCTTATTCAAAGATGCTACCCATCCACCAGAAGATGTTATGTGGTAGAGGCAGGCATTCCTCTGTCCTTCCCTGCCAGGATTAAAATGAAACTTGACTGTTATCTCAAGAATGAGCCCAAAGACCAGACTTAGATTCTGGAAAGACTTTTCTCCTCTCAAAGTACCCTTTTAATAAGTCAGTTGAAGGATTTAAACATAAAGACTCATTCAAAACAGTTGCCTGTGCTCAACTGTCCACGTCCAAACTGAAGTCAAGTATAGTTTAGGAACTGAAATTAAATTACAGTATTACTTACTCAGTCTGGCCTTTATTTTGTTTGGTGGATATGTGAAATTTTCTCAGAGGCTGTTAAAACAAAAATAGTCTGAGGTTCTTGAAAGGACTAAAACAAGTAACTCCTGGAATACAAAAAGGATAAATTGCTGCTTAATTCTGGCCTTGCACTTTTGATTCCTAGAGTACTAAAGGACTGCTGCTGAGTTAGAACTGCATATCATGCAATAGTTTTCATATAACACTAAAAACACTGAAGCATTTTTATACCAAGTATATATCTCATTTAAATCTATAATGCTATTTCTCTATTCTTTTTCAGTGTTTAAGTTACTTTTGTGATACATTTTGTAACCAAAACTGCTACTATCGTGAAGTCTCTGGTCTTGGCTCCTAAAATTTCCATGTACGTTCCATGGATTTTTTATAACTTTTCTCCTTAATTCTTTAGCATTTTAATGACCTACAATATTTTGCCCACAGCAAGAAGCTCTGCAATACCATGCTGAGCCTGATATTGACAATGACATTTCTTTACACATTAAATAACGATGACTCTGTGAAAATCATTACCCAGCAACATAATAGATCACAGATGTGTTTAAAAAACATAGTATTAGGCTGGACTCTGAATTCTGGCCCAGAATGCATGTGTGCATCTCCCAGGGCAGTAATTCAGCACTTAGAAAAAGTAAACTCACCATTGTAATGCACATGGCAGATAGCTGAGTTCCAGCCACCAGTGAAATAATCTGGCCCAGTTTTGCATTCCATGACCCCTGTGCTCTGATGGGAAGGAGGCCATAGGGACTGACTGACTGTAGTCAGAACTGCCCAGCCCTGGTACAATTTATTGTTGCACAGGAACAGCAGTGATGCAACACCCACCTTCTTGCCAGGGACCCAATGCTGAATAAGGACAGCTGAGGGCACAGCACAAACAACAAGGGGAATCCTTGTCTGTACCAGCAATATGATGCTGTACCTGGCAGAGAACGACTGTATCAAGATATTCCCTCACAATTACTTCAGCTTTCTTCACTTGGCCTAATCTGCCTGTTGAGGAAAGGATATTTTCCCTGTCCTGAATTTCCACCTTTGAGGAAGGAAGTCCTCCAGATGTGGGCTCCCCCAGTCTGTCTTTCAGACATAGCTGTTGAGCTGCTCAGTTAAGTGAGGGGCTCCTTTTCAAGTCAGGAAAACCAGTGCAAGAATGATCACAGCTGATGGAAATTTCCTTGTATTCCCCCATCTCTTGTTGCGCAGGCTGTCATATCATTTGCACATTCCATAAAGAGTTTTTTCCTCATTGTCCCCTTTCTGGTAATTTGGAAGTGGAGAGAGAGTTTTCTTATCAGGAGAAGTAGGAAAACAGTATGTTTGTTGGCTGAATTAAAATTGCTCATAACACTTTTCTTTGTAAGAGCATTTGGAGTAAATAAATTAGGTCAAACTGTTCCCCCTTTCATGTATAGCCTTATAAATAATAGTAGAGGGAAATTCAGGAAAAGCAATGAGAGCATTGGCAGGAAGCAGTTTCTCACAGAGCTTAATTTTGATTTCAGATCTGTGTTGCCAGTGACAGCAAACTAATTACATGTGAAACTACACCATGAGTCTTGGGTCCCAGGTATCAGCTGTGCAATAGCAGTGTGACAGCCTCTTACTGCACAGGCTGCTGAGAGCATTCACATGTGCCTCTGCTTCACGCCTCCAGTGTCACCTGCAGCCAGCTCCAGGGGAAGGTGGCTGTGACCATCAGCAGGCTGCTGCCACCACCCAGTGTGTCAGGGAACACAGCAGTGGCTCCACACTCTCACTCTCTGCATTCAGGTCAGAGCTAACACTCCCTGGTGGAGGTGGTGCTTTTGGAGGGGAAGAGGATGCTATTATGCAGCAGATTGTTTGAAATATCAGCTCTTTTCATTTCTCAGTCTACAAACCAGACTCTGATCTAAGTCTTCAGAAAGTCTTATACTCATTACATGAGAACAATGGATCCAAGGATGATTATTTATATATATCCCTCATAAAAGTAATTCTATTTTGTATCCAGAAAAAGAAAGCCTACTTTTTCCATTTTAGTGTCATTTATCGTATCCATTTTAGTGATACAATTTTGTAGCTTCTCTCCTATTTCCTTCCCCAAACACAAGCACAATTAAAGGTCTCATGTTTCTTTCCTGCATCCACCAAAGCAACAGGAATCTGCTTTGTAATTTTCTTTCATAATATTATCTACTTGAATACTTGCTGATTTAGATTACATCGAGCCTGGGATAATTACTGACTAGGCAGCTGATCTGTCTTTGCTTTTACAGCTCTCTAGGTAAGAACAGCATTTCCTGACCCTTGATGATGCCCTGCCCTGTGCCAGGGCTCAGAAGTTGTCCTGCACAGACTGAGGTGCTTTGCTCCTCTCTGTGCTTCTGGAAGACAAGGGGACTGCCTAATTCACAGGCACCTGCAGGCAACTCAGGGCTTCTGCCTCTTAAGTTTTATGGCCTTCTACTCCATGCTTTATGCTCCTGTTCCTTTTACATTCCTTGGACTGATGTGTTTAAAATGCACTATTGCTCTTGCTTAAAAATATTCTTTTTAGAATCCACTTATTTGATCAGCACTTCAGCCATTTCTACACCTTCTGTGTGATATGATCATTGTGCCTGCTCCTGGTTCATGGACCCTGGCTTGCTTCATTGGAAGTGTTGAAACAATCCTCTAGGAGTCTTGTACAATGATGAAGTATCTTTTCACAACATTATGAATGTTTTAAGGATCCTGCTTGATATCAGGCACTCTGGCTAAGAATTATTAGATCTCTTTGGTTACAGGAACATTTACAATTTAGCAGTAGTTGTCCAATTTATAATTTTTATATTATGATGAAAAACAATCCAACTAATGATAAATTCAGCACCATTGTCCATAATATTTTCTTATGCTGGCAAATAAGCAACTGACCTTGAACAATAGGGGGTAAGACATTTAAAAAAAAAAAGAATTATTGGATACCAGCTTTACCAGCTTGTATTCCTATAAACAGAAGAGGGAAGTAGAAACTCACGTCAGAATTGCCCAAACTGACAAATAGAAGGACCAGAAGGTAATTTAGAAAAGCCATACTGAAAAACTGTACTGCTTTTATGATTAATGCATCACTTCTGGTCTCACTGCTAAATGATAATATGAAGTATGAAATTTTGCAACTGTATTAAATATGTTATTACTTGAGGTAAAACCAGAAAAGAGACAAAAATGTTAATTAGAGAATGTAAGCTTAGTTCCTAATAAATTCCTAAATTCGTAAGGTGTGGGAATACTGTCAATATTACATTTGCCCTTGGTATCTCAGTATCAAAATAAACCAGGGGAGGGGAGGTCTATGATTCATCACAGCTATTTTTTATATAAAGCCAGAAACCACATTGTCATTTGATAAATGAGCCGAGAGTGAAGCTTGAAACACAAAAAGAGAGAAGAGTGGGAATTCCAGCCTGGGGAAGGGTGGAGGCTCTGCAAGTTTTCCAGTGAAAACTCTTGCGTGGGTTTTTATTTCTATGAAGTAGCAGATTCAATTAAAGGCGTGACATGGATAAATCCTTGGCTTGCAGACCAAAGAAAATTTGGGATTCCTAGGAACTGAGTGGGTACATCAGTTTGTAAGAGTCATTTTAGGTGCTAGGATTATCAAGAAAATAGGGATACATCCTCTCTATTGCATGTTGTTCAATGCTATTCTGAAAAGGCACAACTTGTAATTCCAGGAAATACCACAGTTCTTTTGGAAGTGAAAATATCAAGATTTTGGCACTTAAGACTGCAGTGAGAGATTGGGGTTGTTAGCCTGGAGAAGAGAAGGCTCCAGGGTGACCTTATTGTGGCCTTTCAATAATTAAAGGGGACTTAGAAGAAAGATGGGGAAAAACTTTTTAATAGGGCCTATAGCAATAGGGTAATGGTTTTAAACTAAAAGAGTGTAAACTCAGACAAGATATAAGGAAGAAATTTTTTATTATGAGGGTGGCAACACACTGGAACAGGTTGCCCAGAGAGGTGGTGGATCCCCCATCTCTGGCAACATTCAAGGTTGGGTTGGATGGCGCTCTGAGTACCTGCTCAGTGCAGGGGTGTTGGACTAGATGACCTTTAAAGGTCCCTGCCAATTCAAACAATTCTGTGATTCTGTGATTCAAATGAAATAAAGAGCTGTTGTTGATAGCATTTACATAAATTTAAATTCAAATAATTTCACAACATAAGCTGAACAGGACTTGTGCAGAAACACTAAGAGAGCACTAACAGGTCTTTGGCATGGTACAAGGTATTTTGTACAGATGACTTTCCACAGAGAAAAAGAAGATTTGGTGAGAAGCCTGAAAGCTGGAGCATAAACTGAGATTTTAGGGAGGGGGTTTATTTTCAGTCAGATCATCAGGCCACTTTGGCTGCTGCACAGCAACATCATTATTAAATTTGTCGCAGGCAAGATAGCAGGGATGCACAGAGGGACACGTGGTTTGCACCAACATTTACACAGCCTTTTCAAAGAACATCTCGGGGCCAATCTGTCACACAGGGCTACATTTCAGGAAGAGGTTTCCTCATTCCACTTCAGCAGTTGTCTCATTTTCAGGCAGACAAGGTCACACTTGCCAGACATTCATTAGGAAATTTGTCCCTTGTTAGCTTTGTGTACCAGATATCTTTCTTCAGTGACTGACAGGGAGAAGCACTCATCCCTGGATCACCAGCATCACTGGCTGAGCCCAGGACAGCTGGCAGCAGCTGATGGAAGAAGAGGGTTCACTCAGGCTGCGCATTTCTGCCAGACCACTACAGGAAGCAGTGACACCCTAGGACAGTGGGCATTTCTTATAATTACTATGGCAGTAGCTCTGTAGTTCATAAGTTAAATGCCTGTCACTAAAGATTCATCATTTCAGGCCTGAAGATGCCTCACCTCAGGGACACGTAACAGAAAATAGGTTTTGTTCTACTTTCGAAAAGAAACTGCTGTAGAAAACTTGTGTTGCAAAGTCAGCTGTCAAAAGTTAGACACTTTTTGTCCACATTAATGCAGACACTTTGCTTATGCAACTCCATACTATTTTTGTCACATAACCTATGCATCATTTATACAAGGAATACATACACAAGGCAGCATAATTAAGATTGCATGAGACTGTAAATCTGCCATCTTTTGGTTTTGAACTTAAAACCTTTTTAGCTGAATTTATATGCATTACCTACAAACAATTCCTAACTATGCATTCCATGGTTTCATCCCAAATAGACAGGGACTCTAACAGATGCTGATTGAGAAGCTCCCTGACTTCAAAAATGAAGTATCATCAGTATATGAAAGGGTTTATTTGATTTGGCTCCCTGCAAGAGTAGAAGACTGGGCTTGGTGAAGAAGAAAGGTCACTCCTGTTTCTGTGTTGCTAACAGATCATAATTTAGCTGAAGATTGATGACAGTGCTAACACATTTATTTATGGGTAACTACTTACTGGCCTTTTACTTTCTGTTCCTTCTGCAGCCACCAATGGAAACAAGCCAGACATCTCTGGGTCAGTTCATGGGTGAATTCTCTCCAGAAACATCACTTACATTTGGTAAATATAGTTTAATTTAAATTAGTGCCTTGTTTATAATTTACTATTTGTGGTATTCATAATCTGTTTAATAGTGGGACACCAAAGAAGCACTTGAGCACATTAGATTTAGGGTTCTAAGGGAACACACGTTTAGGGTGTGTTACTGGGTAGGCAGTGCCAGGGAGTGCTGCTGCTGTGTTCCCAGTGAGGTGCAGGTGCAGGAGCCTGGCTGCAGGGGCTGTGTAGAGGTGTGGGGGGCTTTTCCAGCAGCCTGTTCATTGCCTCCATTTGCCCAACAGGCCTGAATTGTCCTGTTGCTGCACAGATCTGTAGATATGCTTGGGTGGCAATGCAGAACCTGGTAACGCATTAACTGTTCAGAAGTTTAAAACTACCTTTACATGAGGTTAAAAGTCTGCAGCAACCACATGTAAAAGAGTCCTTGAACATGTAATCCATGGGAACTAACAGCCTTTGTTGGTGGTTTTGCATGGAGGCTCTTCAGTGGATATAAGGCCTGAAATACTTTCTCATTTCCAGTGGGTCTTCTCTAGGCTAAAAAATGTTGACAGAAAGGAGCAGCAGGGAACACGTGTGTCTGTGGTGTGAGGATTACACAACTCTCTGTCATATATATTGACTTCCAGATCTAACAATTTTTATTAATATTGTATTACCTTCATGACTAAATCCAGTATACCCACTGGTAGTGCTTAAACTTTTAGCTGCTAACCAGCATCACGTTGGTCATGGAGTAAATAAATGTCTCCTTTGTAGCTTTATTTCCCATTTCTGTGACTTAAAATCAGTTCAAAACACAGCTGCAAACATAATCTCTGCTCTGACCATGTTATGGTCTTCTCTGTTTCCACAGCCCCCTTTTTGTGAACGGGACTTCCTGCCCCAGTGCCTCACCAAGCCTTTCCTAGATGTGTCCTTCTCCTTCCTCCGGTCCCACTGAGGGATGCGGGGCTGCCCCTCCTCAGGGCTGCAGGCCAGGCACTCCCACTGTCTGCCAACACTCTTGGTCACTCCTACAAAACCTGGGCCTCTCCAAACCCCCTCACATCTCAGCCTCTGCCCTTTTGTTGTCTTCCATTGCCTCTGTGCACACAGGAGCACTGTTGGCACCCCTTACTCACCAGCAGTCTTGCAGGCTGCCTCCAAAGATCTGGGACGTTCCACTAGCAGCTCCACCTCTCCCACAAAAATCCTCTTGGAAATTTAGCAAGCATGGATACAGGTTAGTCTACTGCTTTCTTCATTCAGAACTGCAGAAAGGAAAGGACAGATATTATGTCTACTAAACTGCAGCATCCACTTTCTGTTTAATCCTCAGGGCACCCTCTCTAATCCACAGCTCTTCTTTAAAGTTGTGGTAGTGGAACCACTCTTCTTTGTATTTTGCAAGAATAGGAATGTTAATAATAAATGAGCTAAAAATAAGGTAATAGGTTTATATTCTGCCTTGTATGCAGCAGAATTTCTGTTTAGTTACTCCAGTCTTTGCTTCAGTTGGCTGTGCCTGAACACTTTATTACAGACTTACCTCCTTCTCCTGCAAAGAGGTGCACAGGAGAAGTACTTAAAACAGTAAGAGGGACAGGCTGTTCTTAAAGCAATTCTCAGAAGATAAATTATTATTTATTGACATGATAATCTGTATGTCATCATTCAACAGCACTAAGAATGTGGGGTTTTTAAGTGCCACATTCAATAAGAATATTGTGTTCAGTAAGAATACTGACTTAATCTTTCGTTTCTTTTCTCAGTCAAACAACTTTGGCCCAAATCCTACAAACACCCGAGTATTGAGTTCATTACTGTACGCTCTGCCACAGCTCTTTAAAGAGTATCTTTCACAGCCAGAGCGAAAAGGCTACTAAATGGGTCAAGATCACCCATTGGTAAACAAAACGAAGCATTTCAAGTTTACTTTAGAATTTAAATAAAGAAGAAATTTCAAAGCAGCATTACTATTTTTCAAGCGCTGGCGAAGCCGTGCACGATTGCACAAACGGCAACACTGAGTTCATTCACGGCCGGGACGAGCCCCCGCCCTGTGCCACCTGAGGACAGAGCGGGTGTCGCGGGGGTTGCGGGCTCGGGGCGGGCAGGGGGTCCCTGCGCAAGGTCCGCGGGGCCGGGGGAGCCCCCGGGGCCGAGGGAGCCCCCGGGGCCGAGCCCGCGGCCCCGCCGGCCCCGGGAGGCATCGGGGCGGGACCGGGCACACCCGGGGCAGGGGAGAGAGGGCGGCCCTGCCCGCGCCCCTGCCCTGCCCCAGGGGCGGGGGGCCGCGGAAGCCTTTGCCTCCTCCCCCGGCCCCGCACTCACACGAGGAGCCCGCGGCGATCGGAGCAGCGGCTCAGCGGCCACAGCCCTGCCCCAGTCGCCGCCGCCGCACCGAGATGCCGCCCGCGGCCCCGCGGCCGCCGCTGCCGCTGCTCCTGCTGCTGCTGCTGCTGGCGACGGCGCGTCCCGCAGCACCCCCGCACAGGTACCGCGGCCCCGCCATCCCTTCCTCCCCGCACAGGTACCACGGCTCCGCCACCCCCTCCTCCCCGCACAGGTACCGTGGCCCCGCCATCCCTCCCTTTCTCCCTCCGTCCCCCGCAGGAGCAGCGCCCACCGTGTGTCCTTGGGGTGTTTCCCTGCCCGTGAGCGCATCAGGGCAGGGGCTTTTCCCATGGACTCCGGGCCGCTGCGAGCGCAGCCCCGTGCAGGGTGTGTGTAGGGTGTATAACACAGCGGCATAACACGGTATGGCACCCCCGTATCTAAAGCTCGACAGGGCACTCGCTCACCCTCGTGTCCTCAGCAGGAACGCTGTGGTTCCGCACGGAGCTTTTCCCGGGCTCTTCGTGTGTCCGTGCAGCGTGGCCGGAGCCGGCACCTGAGCTCACCTGAGCTGGGCCCTGAGCACAGATGGGCCGCGGGGATCGTGCACTGGGGTGGATTGTGCTACTGGGGTACAGAAAACTACGTGAGAATTACTTGATTAAAACATCGAAATTCAAAGCATAGGAAGGAATTATTACTGTGCTATTTTAACTACTGTTATATGTATTATAAAAAGTCATACTAATGACTTTTTAATAACTATGTTTTCATTATAATAGCAATTTGCAGTGATGTATCACACCTTGCTCTTATGAAGTAAAGAAGGAGAGAAGGATAACAGTCTGTGCAAACCCAGAACTAAGGCCCAAGGAGTTAATTTTTTCTACACTTAAGTTTGAGCGTTAAGTTGCACATTCTATGTCAACAGTCAAATTATGTAAATAATGAAATATATGTTTAATGTTAGCAATATTTTTAAGTACTTAAATGTTTTTGAGACCGTTCGTGCCTCTTGACTATTATACAAAAAAATAAATGAAATCTATTTAAAAATTAAGACTATTTTTCCTGTTCTCAGGCCTACATTTACATGTGGAGGAGTTGTATCTGGCGAGTCAGGGTTTATTGGGAGTGAAGGATTTCCTGGAGTCTACCCTCCTAACAGCAAATGTACTTGGAAAATCACAGTAAGAATTTTTAATATCACAAAATCAGAGCTGAAGACAATGAAGAGCTATTTGTTGTTAATGCCAGTGTTTTATATGGAGCAACATATGTGCAGTAATGAGAGCAGCTCAACTATCTGGAGCTTTTTAGGGTTGATGTAACATGATACTAGTGGCTGAAATAGAACGGGCCTTGCCTCATGTCAGAAGCAAATTTTCATTGACTTCCATAGATACACCTCTAATTGTTTTAAATTAACACACTTGCAAACAAGCATCTCCCCTTCCTGTCACTGCAGAAAGCAATAGTGAGTTCTATCGAAGTAAAGGTTTGGGGTGGAGGTAATGAAAAGTTTTCCTGACAAGAAGACATAGAAAAAGTTTCAGTCAAATCCAAAAAATTCAGGCAGGTTTGCTCATAGTGTGCTACTAGCAATGTTCTGCCAGCAGCACATCTGGAGTCTGTCATCCAGCAACCTGACAGTAATAGGGAAGTGCTGTTATGTTTAAAAATGACCATGTGAAATGAAAGCATGTGGTATGATGGGGATACTTTGATGCTGAAATGAGACTGCAGGGCAGAGACATCATATTCATGGACAACAGATATCATGAAACAACTAGGACTAAACATTCAGTGCTTGATGTCCTTATCCACAGACTCAGACAAGGGATGTGAGTGAATGATTACTTTTCCTCACATCTGCACAAATTAAACCATCTGAAACTGCCCACAAAATTTCCTCTCTGTTTTTCAGGCCCAGTTTACTAAGAACTCTTATGATATTCAGGCCTATAGAAAAATATAAGAAAGCATAAAAAAATAAGTCTGTGTGCTGACAGGCTCACTAAAGACAACTTCAGTTCAAAGACTGCATCACAGCCTAGGTGTTGGCAGCAGAATAGGATGTCACAGGATAATTGTTTCCTGCTACTATAGAGATGCTGACGCAAAGCAGGAGACATTGATCTGTTTACAGTGTTCGGTTTAAAATGACTCTCGTACCAAATGAGTGATGTAAATTTAATCATTTTATCTGAAGGATCCCAGTGAAGTTGCATAGTTGATTTCTGCACCTTTCTGTTGCATTATTACTGGGGCTGAGTTAGAGGTTACCTTTGATCTGTGACTGACTTCATCCAGAAGAGTATAATGTGAAACACAGGGTATGCTCATAAACCTGCTTCCTGCTGTGGAGGGGCTGAGGTGACAGCAATTAGCGTGGCCCACCTTACAATCTGAAGAGCAGATGCAAATTGCATTTTGAATCATAACACACGTACCTTAAAGGGAAAGGGAAAAAATGTCCAAAGTTAGTTAACCCATATGACTCAATATTAGACCTTCAAAAATTCAAAACTGATTCTGGAGGGAAATAATAATTTTGTTCATAACAGCATAAAGTTTTTACCATTCAAAAACTTAGCTTACAAATGGAGGCAGCACTGAAGAAGCAATTACTGAAGCATGCCATGGATCTGCCCTTTATATACTGGGGGTAGAGGGAGAAGAGAACAAATGATTGTACTTAAAAAGTCCATGCAGAGTGGTTTCATTGCAGACTTCATGTGGCTGTTGTAAACAAGATGCCGGCATCCAGGTTAGCCTGGACATGGTGAGGAGCATTACTGCAAAGCTGTAGCAGAGCTGTGTCTGCACTCGAGCTTTCTTGGGGCATCTGGCATTTCATGATCATCCTGATCCCAGTTTTCTGCTGTGCTGCCATTTACTCCCACTCTTTCACTGTTGCTTACTTGTCCCCTGTAACTCGCCCAAAGCCAGAGAAGGGCTGCACACCTGTAGCAGTCCAGGCTTGCTTGTGCCTTCACCTCATTTAACCCCTGTTAGACAATATTGTGCACTAAGCCAAGCTGATTTCTTCCCCCATCAACTATGTAGAACACCCTGTCTTCTAGTGTACAGGAAGGAGGCAGGGAAAGCAAGGACTACAAAACTTGCAAGATTAAGCCTGTACCCTCTTTAAAGAGAGGACGGTTTACCAAACTGAGGGAAAGTGTTACAGTCAAGGGTCTGCTTAGCCTGAATTTAAACAACAAAATCCTTTCACCAAATACTGCTGAGGCTCAGAATAGCTTGCAATAGCACCCAAATAAGAGAGCCAGTTACACTGCCGTGAAGAAATACTCTCTAGTTACTGTTAGACTTCCACATTTAGCATCGACTTAGAAAGTGACTGAGACTTTTTGCCTGTCCATTTTAGCCAAGGGCTGTGAACACCCTCCTGAAATGCAGGATCTGACGAGTCTGAAGGCTGAAAGAGACTTTGATTCACTTTGCGTCTGGGTCACAAGAAGCATTAAGCTGTTGTTTTCTCAACTACAGGATCTCATCAGCTGCAGAAGAAATGCACAGAGAGGCAGAATGACAGCTAATTCATTCTTTAGAAGAAAATAGGTGTAGAAAATGTTATGAGTAATACAGATAAAGCAATGTAGCATTCAGGTATCAGCTGAAATCTTTCCAACTGGTTTGCTAAAGCTAGAAGAGTCTCTCTAGCTCAATTATGGTTCTGTTATTTCAAGAGACTGGGACTTTTTCAGCTGGCTAAAGAAAACAGCTTCTCTATTCTAAGAGCTCTAAGAAGTGTTCAGCACATGCTTGTGGTTATATTACAACCTTGGCAGACTACCCAGCAGCTTTTAGCTGGCTTTGCTAAGAAGTCATTTGTACAGCTATTTCCTTTCTTATAGTAATGTATATAGCTTTATCTCAAATATGTCATATACATTTACTTTTAATACTCTGTAATCCTTCTTGGCCATCACCTCACATAAATGTGTCACATAGTCCAAAAATCTGGACCGCTCTCCTGTGTTTTTCTGGCAGACTGCTTAGTTCCCATAAAACTCCAACAACTTCTGCAACAATAATACTGAAAACTGTCAGAGTTATGTAAGGTTATGTTTTTATAGGTTCAGGAGCTGTGTTCCAGCAGGTTTGCTGACAATAAGCAAGGTTTGAAAAATTTACTTACCAGGGAAGTTGGGAATCTGCCCTGAGGGAGCGAAATATTTTAAATAATTTTTTCTATGTTTTAAGCATTCATTTGCCCATATCATTGTAAAACTGCCCTCCCAGTGGAGAACAGATCTTTACACATGATTGTATTGCCAAAAGAAAGAGATGAACAGAGTCTAATGTCTTTGTCAGGAAGAGTAAGCTAATACAATTTTTTTTAAATTGCAGCTAGAGTACAAGCCACTAGGCAGGAATCATGGTTCTCCCCAGGATGTAACTCCAAATGACTTCCACATTCATTCTCAGTAGAGAGAAATAATACATTTGGTGTGCAGATAGCTGATGTATTTTTCAACTCTACCTGGGACTGCTATGGCAAAACATTTGGTATTGAACATATATCAAAATATATTAAACCCATATACAGCACAGGTTTAAAAATTAGGCAAAATATATTTACAAAAGTTGACATTTAAGGGTTTTTCCCCACCAAAAGATTATTTTCAAAGTAAATAATCTAAACCAAGTAATTTTGATGAAGAGGGCTTTGTGTTCAGAAAAACAGCTTCACTACTTTAAATGTAACTAAACTTCGATTAACATTATATGAAATACCTGCAATGAATGATAACCAAAGACACTCTAGCGACCTTAGTTTGAGGGGGGTTGTATATATGAAATAACCATGCCCTTTTGAAGAAGTTGGTAATCTACACAGGTGATTTTAGGGAATTATGCTCTAGAAAAACTCCCTCTAAAAGTCACTTAGCTTTCAATAGGAGTAAGGCATCCTTCACATGAGTTTAACATCGTAATTTTTGATGCTAAAGAAGTTCATAGAGTTAAAATAAGAAGGGAAGCAGAGAGTGAGTATGTGTCAGTCACCCTCTTTGTGACAAGGAGAGGCAGAAGCTAAAGTGCCTCTGTTGTTCAAAGATACCAGCTGGATGGATAAAACAAAAATAAGGCACACCCTGCAGAGGAAGCATCACATCATTCTTCCTTTGACTTCTCCCTATTTTTCCCCCCCCCTTTCTTTTAAGAGCTGGAATTCCTTCCAGTTCTTCCTCTGAGGTATCCCATCATCTCACTGCATCAGGCTCGGACGTGGCTCAAAGTAAACAATACTGAGTCACGCTGGCCTTTGCTTTCTCCCCTGTGTTTCTCATGGAACAATATTTTAAATGTCCTAGGATAAACACTGGCAGATTTTAGCACATTACTTTTCAACATCTAAAAAAGCAAATGGTAGAAATGAAAGAAAAGTACTGTTTAGAAAAGACGCCTGTGTTTAGAGTGAGATTTCTCGGGAGTAGCTGCAGACTGAAGTGTCTGCTGCCAGAATATGGAACCACCATCCTCTGCACTCCTGATTGTCATCCAGTCAGACCTCAGAATTTTAATTGATTTACCATATTGGAACAAATTTGTTATTTTTGTGAATGATGAATATTATTTTAATAAGCAGGTACATTATTTTATAAAGTAATGGCTGTAAGCAGTGACTTTGATTAAGGGCCCCACCCATTTCTCTAAATTACTTACCTCCCCAAATTGAGTTAAACATGACAAGGATTATTCTAGCAATTAAAACCTGGAGTAGGCTCCTTGTTGAACATTCATGATCATGTGGCTGAATTTTTCCTACACTTTTTTTTACAAACTGCCATGAAACAAAACTTAGAAAGTCAGTACATCTATGGGAAACAATCTTGACCAAGTTCAAATAGACTGAACTAACAGAAGCTACAGAGATTAAAAACTGTAATGAAATATAATTAGATAGTGTATGTTGTACAGTAAAGCATAGCCAGTGGTGGAGGGAGGAGAAGGAAGCACACAACCCTGCACAGAATTACTTGTACCATGAAACAGAAAACCTAAGGCTTGAGTGAACAGCTGGCTGGCAGTTTGGAGTTGGCAGCTTTGCCAGCCCCCTCTCCTTCCTGGGCAGGGTCAATCCCATGTCCTGGTTCCCTCTGTCCCACTTGGGGCAGCATGAGGAGGTGGAATACCCAGGGGTAGGACTGAGTGCCTCAATGCTGCTGAGAGCTGAGCAGCACTGGGTCCGTGCTGGAACAAAGCTGTCAGTGAGCACCATCAGCATTACTGAGGGGGAACCTCTGGGCTAAATCTGAGTGTGTTTCTACAAGGACAGCAAAAAGACCTTTTCTTACCCCAGAACCAGCCACCTCTCACATTTCCACTTCCTTCTTCAAACACTGGGAGGGAGCAGGTATATTCAAAGAAGCAATTCAAGCGGAGAAAGTAGGGGAAAATCTCTTTAGCATTGATAAAACTGTTTAATATGCCAGAGCAACTTCTGCTCAACTTCCAGAAACAGGAAGGAAAAGGGGAAACCTCTTAAAGATGGGTAACTTGTAGCCAAAGCTGCAAGACACTGTAATGGAAGATGTTGGACAATCTTAACTGTAGGCATAACAGCTCAGTCTGGTTTAGAACATGATAACCTTTAAAAGTCACCTCTTTTGCATCCTGTATGAACTTATGAATAATGAGTGTTCCACTCCAAAAGAGTATATGTTATTTTACATCCAAACTGCTGGAAAAAAGGCTGCTGTAATTGAACTACCTAAATCTGACTTTATCTGACTAACTTTACAGTCAGCATTTCTGAACTGATTTATACAGTCACACATAGTTCATAGTATAACCATAAACAATATTCAGGTCTTCCGACAGGAATACCAAGGTCATTGTAGCTCATTTTCTGTTAAACTGACCATGCCCTAATGCTCCTTAGTGATACAGACCAGAAGACAAGTAAATGCAATGATAAGAGGTCTGGTTATGAGAGCAATGATTCAAGGAGCAGATTCAAGACGAGGGGAGTTCTGGGGTTTTGATGTAGTAGTAGTGATGTACGTCAGCACAGGGGAACTGAATTTTTGAGAGAACTTTGAGCTTAAAGGAAAACACTCTGAAACCAGCCACAGGAACTGTAGTGGGGCTGGTCAGCCAGTGTGCAAGTGGGCCCCAGGCAGCTGAGAACAGCTCAAGCAAAAGTCTGTCCTGCTGCAGGATCAGTATCAGCACTGGATGTAAAAGCAGCTGCATGAATGAGTCACCTTAACATATCTACAGCACATTTTTCACTACATCTAGAGCTGCTGCCTGTATCACTAACTGCTGTAGGTTGTGGTCACTTCCATCTACAGCAATTCCATCTATACCTGACCCAACAAGTAATTTTTAACTGTTGAGACTTATGATATTAAAATGGCTGTTTGACAATTTCATATAAGAACAATTTAGTTGTAGTTTATCTCAAACTGGTGTTTTA